GAAGAGCATAGTCAATGTCACTGAACTGTGCATGTAGAAATTTTTGAAATGGTGTATCTTTGGCTATGTTTATTTTCACCAAAAAAAAAGGTTGAGAAGTTAGAGGGTTGATATGTTGTGGGGTTGTTAACCAGTGTCATAAAACAACATGTGTACTACTGTTTCATGAGAAACTATTTGTTCTGTAAGCCTTCACCTGAAGTACAAAAAAAAAAATAGCGCAGTTACAAAGAAATTGTTAAAATTTTGAAATAATATTGTGCAATTAAGATAAGGAAAATAAAAGCACTTTGTAAAATGTTATATAATTTAGTTTCAATTATTTGTTTTGCTGTTGATGCTAGAGACTCACCACTGAATTCCTCTCGTGTCCTTCAGTTTCCGTAACTGATACTTTACTTAGGATAAATACCCTTGTAGCAGTCTGAAGCCTGTGAACTCCTTAATAGAATAATGTTTTTAAATACAAAAATAAAATACATAGAATTTCAAAGGAATCCAGTTATGTGAAATGTAGTTATCAGTTTTTTTTTTTAATATACATGTTTGTTTATTAACCCATTAAATAACAATATCTAGTGGCAGGTCTAATGGAATAATTTTGAAGTAGTGATGAATGTAAAGTGTATTTTGAGGTAGCTACAATGCCTGTAATGTGATATAAAAATATATGTGCTTTCTAATGATGTCAGTCACAGGTGCTGCTAATGCAACTGGGATTTTTTTCTCCTGTGTTCATAATTTAAGAAATGCTATGTTTCAGTGAGAACTTGGTAAGACTCGTCATGGACAAGATACCTTCAGGGTCCGTAAATCTCAGGTAAAGAACCCCTCCCTTAATTCTTAATAATAATGAAATCCTGTTCTGCTCTTGTTAGTTCCCCTTCTCAAGGCCCAGAGCCCTACCCCTGAGCCCTAGTCTCATGACTTGCACTTTCGTTGACCAGGCTTCCTAGAAGCAGCTTTTGGGTTTCTGAGAAACACCTGCTTAGACTGTCCATCATTGTTCCCTCTCCACTTGTGGGGGGAGCCATCTGTGTTTTCTTGAATTCCTTGATGCAGCTATTGACCTTGACCATCTTCCAGTCTTAAGTTTCTGGAGGTCATCACTTTACTAAGATATATGCCCTCCCATCTTTTATTATTAAAAAGTATATATAATAACCCAGGTCCTGGCCCTTCCAGTCATTCCTTGTCTTCCTGGGAATGGGAAGTATTCATTCTAAAGTATTCTGCTTCTCTTAGGAATTGGGAAAAATGGTGTTCAGCAGGAATCGAGAAAACATAATTGAGAAGACTGGATACTAAAATTTTATAAAGAAGGAAAAAATTCCCTGTGAAACTATGGAATTGAATGCTGTTGAGAAGAAAGTATGATAGAAAGATAACAAAAGCAGTGGAGAAGATACCTAAAAGATTTCAGGAAGAGATATTGTGCAAAAGTATAGGAATTGAACATGTGGTCTCAAGTTTCCATTCATTCTAGGAAGATACATGCATTGCCATGAATATCACTGCATTTTGCAGGGATAGGTTTATCACTGGAATGGTAATATATGTCTTTGTTCAAAACAATTTAATATAATATCTGAGGGTGAATAATGGGAATCAGGACTACATATACTTGTTTGAAGCCAACAGTACAGTAGTGGCATCAGAGTGGAAAGCATGTAAGTGAGAATAAAAGGAGTAAGAAATAGAAGATTTCTGTAGATTATGCTACAGATCATTTGAGAAGAAGGAGAATAGGCTGTTGCTCTCCTAATATAATATAAAACTGGCACAAAAATAAGGTAAAATTGTGATGGAAGATTTTAGCTCAACAAGGAAGAAGTGATAGGTGAAGTGAAAGAGCCTTAAATACTGTGGGAAAAGAAACCTTCCCATTTTTGAGATTTTTCCTAAATGAATAAAATGTTGAATATAATCAAACTGCTACCTTGGGCAGGAAAGTATATTTTAAAAAATGGAGACAAAATATCATTATCTTACGATTATGTGTCCCAGAATCAAAGAGAAGACAGCAGAAGCAAATCAAACCTCTACAAATCCTAAAATACTGGGAATTAAATTTAAAATTACTTTATTTGAAGAATTATGTACTTATGTGTCATCATTAAGACCATATGGGAAACAGTTTAGATATTAAAAACAAATTGATAAGAAAAAGATCAATAAACCAATAGAACAGTGGGCAAAGGATGTGAACATATAATTTGCAGAAGCGGAAATACAAGTGAATAGATGCTCAGCTTCCCTCATAGAAGGAAAATGAAATACCATGTTTTACTTACCATATTGACAAGTAACTAAAAGCTTTTTAATATAAAGGCAAGGTTGTGAGGATACAGGGACTTATACACTGCTGGTGGGACTGTAAATTGGTAAGGCAGTATAAAGGGCATTAGTTATCAAGATTAAAAGTGCACATACCCTTTGACTCAGCAATGCAGTTTTGGGAATGTTTCGTAGAGACATTTTTGAACAACTGTAGAGAGAGAAATATACAGGCTTAATCCTTGCAGTATTGTTTACACCAGAGAAAACCTGAGGTGACCTAAAAGTCCATCAGTTAAAGGACTGGATAAATTATGATATATTCATGCGAACACTATGCAGCCATAAAAAAATTCAAAAGCTCTTGACGTGGCTATGTATAAATCTCTAAGATATATTATTGAGTGAAAATGTAAGGAATTGAACCACATGTATAGTATGCTGTTATTTGTGTTAAGAAAGAAAAAGAATGTATTGTGTATTCATAAAATATGTATGGAAGTATATGTAAGATACTAATAAAATCATTGCCAGTAGGAAGAGATAATGAAGTAGAACAGAAATTACGTATCTTTTTAAATTTAATAAAATTATGTTTACATGTTGCTGAAAATTGAAAGAGCCCTTAGAATTAGTAAAAATCATTTTTTAAGATAATGTAGTTATGGTGAAATTTAAACATTTTAGTTTTATGATCGGAAAGTGGTAGTAACTAAAAAATGACTTCGAAGTTTATCTTAATAGTAAGCAATAGTCTTTCCCATGAAAAAGAAGAAAGTGAATATAATGTTAGGTTATGTTATTAGATGAATGGTGTTTAGACCGTTGTACTCTCGCCCAGAGCAGGTCATATTTGAATATGGTTTTCAGTTCTAGGTATCGTATTTTAAGATAGGGAATTTTTAAGAAGGGAATTAGCAAATGAATTATGGGGAGAATTTGGAATTTACATGAAGATAATTTAAGGAGCTGGGAGTGTTTACCCTGGTAGAGAGTTTTAGGGGAAGAGGGATGGGAAGAGGGGAGAAAAAGAACAGTAACATGATAGTGATCTTCAGATATTTAAATATCAGCCAGGAAAGGGAGTAGATTTCTCTATAGCTGCAGAGGGCAGTACTAAAATTAGTAGGTGGAAATGATAAGGAAGTAGATTTCGTTTTTTTTTTTTTAATTGTGCTTTAAGTGTAAGTTTACAATTCAAGTTAGTCTCTCATACAAAAATTTACACATACATTGTTGTGTGACCCTAGTTGCTCTCCCTATACTGTGACAGCAGACTCCTCATTTCCAGCTCAGATTTCCCGTGACGATTCAACCAGCTCCTGACCCTCTCTGCCTTCTCTCCTGGCCTCCATTTTGTCTCATGTATCTACTTGAGCCAAGAAGCACACTCTTCACAAGTATCATTTTATGCCCCATAGTCCAGTCTAATCTTCGAATAGTTGGCCTTGGGAATGGTTTTAATTTTGGGCTAACAGAGTCCAGGGGCCATGTCTTCCGGGGTCCCTCCAGTGTCAATCAAACCATTAAGTCTGGTCTTGTTCTGCACCCCACTTTTCACTTCCTCCATCAGGGACTCTGTTGTGTTCCCTGTCAGGGCAGTCATTGGTGGTAGCTGGGCACCATCTAGTTCTTCTCGTCTCGGGCTGATGGAGTCTCTGGTGTATGTGCCCTTTCTGTCTCTTGGGCTAATACTTCCTTGTGACTTTGGTATTCTTCATTCTTCTTTGCTCCAGCTGGTTGGGAGCAATTGATGGCATCTTACATGGCCGCTCACTAGCTTTTAAGGCCCCAGATGCCACTCACCAAAGTGGGATGCAGAACATTTTCTTAATAAACTTTGTTATGCCATTGACCTACATATCCCCTGAAACTATGGTCCCTATACCTCTGCCCCCGCTACTCTGTCCCTCGAAGTGTTTGGTTGTATTCAGGAAACTTCTTAGCTTTGGTTTAATCCATTGTGCTGACTTCCCCTGTACTGTGTGCTGTCCTTCCCTTCACCTAAGATAATTCGTTTACCCTTAGCTGCTCTTAAAATTCTCTATCTTTGGTTTTTGCAAGTTTGATTATAGTATATCTTGGAGACTTTCTTTTGGGATCTACCTTATGTGGGGTTTGATGAGCATCTTGGATAGATATCTTCTCATCTTTCATGATATCAGGGAAGTTTTCTGCCAACAAATCTTCAACAATTCTCTCTATTTTCTGTTATCCCTCCATTCTGGTACTCCAGTCACTCGTAGGTTATTCCTCTTGACCGAGTCCCACATAATTCTTAGGGTTTCTTCATTTTTTAAAATCCTTTTATCTGATTTTTCCTCAAATAAGTTGGTGTCAAATGCTTTATATTCAGTCTTACTAATTCTGACTTCCATTGCCTCAGTTCTATTCCTGTGACTTTCTATTGAGTTGTCGAATTCTCAAATTGTATTGTTAATCTTCTGGATTTCTGATTGCTCTCTCTCTCTATGGGCTCTTGCAGCCTGTTAAATTTGTCATTATGCTCTTCTCTAATCTTCTTAAGTTCTTCTATTGTGTGTTCTGCATTTTGATTAATTTCCTTCCTAATTTCTTGAAGAGTTCTGTATATTAATCTTTTGCATTCCTCCTGGTGTATTGTATGTCCTCCTGGTGTATTGACCCTTTAATCATTATATAGTGTCCTTCCTTATCCTTTGTGGTGGATTTTACTTTAAAGTCTATTTTGTCAGAGAGTAATGTTGCCACTCCTGCTCTTTTTTGAGTGTTGTTTGCTTGATGTATTTTTTTCCACCCTTTGAGTTTTAGTTTGTGTCTTTAAGTCTAAGGTGTGTCTCTTGTAGGCAGCAGATAGACGGATCATATTTTTTAATCTATTCTGCCACTTTCTATCTCTGTTGGTGTGTTTAGTCCATTTACATTCAGTGTGATATTGATAGGTATGAGTTTAGTGCTGTCATTTTGATGTCTTTTTTTGTGTGTTCACAGTTTCTTTGTCCCACTTTTCTGTGCTGAGTCATTTTTGTTTATGTATTTTCTGGTCATCTTTTTCATTGTTGTTGATTTTGTATTTGCTGAGTCTTTATATTCTTCTTGTTTTTTATTTTGACGTGTAGGATTGTTAGTTTCCTTTGTGGTTACCTTAATATTTACCCCTATTTTTCTAAGTTTAAACCAGTCTTTTATTTCTTTATTTCGCCTTGACTTCCTCTCCACGTGAAAAATCTACGTGTACATTTTTGAGTCCCTCTTTTTAGTTTTAATGTTGTCAACTTTTACATATTGACATCTGTTTCCCTATTTTCAGTGTTTTAGCTTTGGTTGATTTTGTGACTTCCCTGTCTGGGTTGATACCAGGTTGCTTTGTCCTGTGTTCTAGTCTTGGGTTGTTATCTGATGTTATTGATTTTCTAACCGGAGGACTCCCTTGAGTATTTCTTGTAATTTTGGCTTAGTTTTTGCAAATTTCCTAAACCTCTGTTTATCTGGAAATGCCCTAATTTTGCCATCATATTTGAGAGACAGTTTTGCTGGATATATAATTCTTCCCTGGCAGTTTTTTGTTCCTTCAAGGCCTTATATATGTCATCCCATTGCCTTGTTGCCTGCATGGTTTCTGCTGAGTAGTCTGAGCTTATTCTTATTGACTCCCTTTTGTAGATGAATTTTCGTTTGTCCCTAGTCTTAAAAAATTCTCTGTCTTTGGTTTTGGCAAGTTTGATTGTAATACGTCTTGGTGACTTTCTTTTGGAATCTAGCTTATGTGGGGTTCGATGAGCATCTTGGATATATATCTTCACATCTTTCACGATATCAGTGAAGTTTTCTACCAACAAGTCTTCAATAATTCTCTCTGTATTTTCTGTTTTCCCCCCCGTTCTGGTACTCCAGTCACTTGTAGGTTATTCCTCTTAATAGAATCACACATAATTCTTAGGGTTTCTTCATTTTTTAAATCCTTTTATCTGATTTTTCCTCAAATAAGTTGGTGTCAAATGCTTTATCTTCAGTCTCACTAATTCTAACTTCCATTGCCTCAATTCTGCTCCTATGACTTTCTACTGAGTTGTCTAATTCTGAAATTTTATTGTTAATCTTCTGAATTTCTGATTGCTCTCTCTCTGTGGATTCTGGCAGCCTGTTAAATACGTCATCATGCTCTTCTTTAATCTTTTTAAGTTCCTCTGTTGCGAGGTGTGTATTTTGCCTAATTTCCTTCCTGATGTCTTAAAGAGTTCTGTGTATTAATCTTTTGTATTCTGCCTCTGATAATTCCAAGAAATTTTCTTCCTCTGGAAAATTTCTAGATTCTTTATTTTGGGAGCTTGCTGAAGCCATCGTGGTCTGCCTCTTTATGTGATTTGATATTGACTGTTGTCTCCTAGCCATCAGTAACTTATTATATTTACTTATTTTATGTTTGCTTACTGCATCCTGGCTTCTTTTGTTTTATTTTGATATGCCCAAATAGGCTGCTCCTGTTAGCGAGCCCGATCACTGGTGCCCCTGAACCTCCAGCGTCCTGCCACCATGTGGCCAGACCTGCCACTAAGTGTGTGAGCCCAGGAGTCTGCCCACTCCTGTATGGATTCAGCTCAGGTGTCCAGGTAGTTGGCCACCCAGTGTGTGGTGCAGGCTCTCACCTACAGTCCTAGACAGGCATGGGTGATTGGTGTAGGAACAGGCATCTGGCTGCAGCAGGGGGACACACACTGAGCAAGGTAGGGGGCTGACGGCCACCCCCAGGTGTCCAGGAGGAAAGCGTGGCCCTGTTCCCTGGAGTGCGTAGATGGATGGGTTTTGCAGCCAGACTGTGAGCACCCGGTGCTGTTGACTGTAAGGACTGGAGGGCATCTCTTGTTCTTGGGCCCCTGTCGTAGGTGGCGTGGGTGGAGCCACCAGTCCTCAGGCCCCTGATGTGGGTAGGTGAGTACCCTGCTTAATGGGCAGAGCAGGGTCAAATGTCACGAACCTGTCACATCACAGCTGAAACAGTTGAAGTTAGAGTTCCAGTATATATCCTGTTGTACTGTGGTATTGAGGGCCTATGATGTTGATATGGGCCCACACAAGTCTCTGCAGGGGGAAAGGCACTCAAAGTCTGGATCCCTTATGCTTGTGCCTAGGCAAAGGACTATGCCTACCCTGAGTTCCTGGCTTAAGAGAGCCAGCAGATTATTTTTCCCCGTTTGTTATTTAGTTCCCTCTCCAAGGGCAGGAGAATGGCTCTGGGCGCATGACGAGTCCTCCTTTCGGCCCAGGGGATTCGGCAGTTGCTGAAGCTGTCCCAGATGCAATGCAGAGCAGGGAGTGGGGAGGTAAATAGGAGAGTTTTTCCCAAAGGGAGGTGTTTTTGATCTGCGCAGTAGGCCAGATGCAAGTACTTTAGCTGATCAAGGGCTGCTTCTCACTGGTTCTGGGTGGCCGAGTAGACTCTTTGCTGCTGGGTCTCTTCCGATGTGGAAAACGTCTCCTGAGCGCCGCTGCTTCCCTGCCTCACCACGCACCCTGAGCTGATCTGGGCTGAAAGGCTCCGGCTCCCGCCAGGTCAGGTCTGGCTACTCCTCACTGCTTCCAAACGTCTTTTCCTCCCCCTGCTGCTCAGTCTGATTCCTCAACTTTGCCTTTGATGTTCAGGGCTTCTAGATTGTCATATATAATCGATTCACTTGTTTTTTCACATCTTTGTTGTAAGAAGGACCATCAGAAGTGCCTGACTACTCCACCATCGTAGCCCTGCCCTGAACACAAGCTTGTTAGTTTGGCCTGCCTGTTGGCCAGACCTCTAAGCTGCTGACTTATATCTGTGTCTGAGCCTACTAAGACATGATTCCCCATGCCTGGACCTATCAGCCTGCTTTCCCTTACCATAAATCATCTAAACTGTTTTGACTTTTCCCACCAAGTTTAGGCATGGGGATGATTTCCCTTTTCCTTTTCAACCCTACTGGGCAGGTTTAGGTCTAGATCCTAGCCCTTTCCCAGCACCGTGTCCTCCCATATTTAAATAGACAAAATTTAGGCCCATTTTGAAATAGGGTCCTTCTCACAAAAACTGGAATAATATTTTTAGCAAGAGACTGGTGGACCTGAATGAGAGAACCCAAAACTAAAATACGATAAGATAAAAATGCTCAGATTTTGTAATACAGAAACAACAGGTCAAATATGACACAAAGAATTCCAGTAATAGGGGAAATGTCTATCATTTCTTAAGGAAAGATGACGTAAAGGTAGAGAATTAAGAATACTCAGGTATCCATGTATGAATGGGGTTTATGAGTAATCAGCATTGTACTTTTAACCCAGGAAGGTGTAACAGTATGGTTTTCTTATTTTGTACACATATGATAATATTATTAAAACAGAAAAGTACTTTGTTCAGCAGTTTGTTAACTTTTATTCATTTAAAATTCTTGCACTGAAACATTGCTAACTTATTATAGTAGAAACTGAGTTTTATTTAGACCAAAGTGAGGGTATGGCTAAAAATCATGTTTGTGCTAGCAAAACACAAGGTCAGCCCTTTTCTTACAGGGTCTCTCTGCAACCTCTGATACGATTGCTCCATTATTTTTTCTTTAAACTCTGCCCCCTTGGTTTCTAAGTCTTGAGGAATCTGGTTTTCTTTTTCCCTTCTTGGCTTTTCCTTTTCTAACTCCTCCTTAGGGATTTTCGTCCTCCAACTCCTTCTTAGGAATTTCTTCCCTCTTCCTTTTAAAGATTATATTTCCCCAGGATTCGCTTATTAATCCTCTTTTCTTCCCTTGTTGGTTTTATCCAGTCTTACAGTATCAGTTATAAACTATGTGCTGGTGACTCCCTAGTACACGTTTCTAGTTCAAAGCTGTCTTTTGAATTAGATACCCACTTCCATCATGACATTCTGTAGACACCTCAAATTCACTGTCTTCCCTCCCAAACTTAAAACTTACTCTCTTACTATTCATGTCAGTGTTTGGCACCACCATCTGCCTGAGTCAAAAAATTGGGCGTCTTCCTAGTCTTATATTTTTAAAAATTTCTATCCAATTAATCATGAAATCCTGTTGATTCTAGCTCTTCTCTAAAATTCATACCTTTCTCTTGGTTCTGACTACCATTGGACCATAAGCTTCTGAGGGAGGACTCATACATGTGTGGTTTACAACTATGTAAGGTCTCACACAATAGTAGCACGTAGTAGGTGCTCAGTGACTATGTGTTGAATGAATGGATAGAAGCCATTGCTTTGGCTCAGGCTCTCTTATTTCACCTGGATTATTTTTCTAACTTCTCACTCGCTTCTTACTTCCTTTCAGTGTGTTCTCTATAATGCCACTAGAATGATGTATCTAATATGTAAATTTAAAAAAATCTATAGTGTATATTTCTAAAAGATAAGGGCTTTAAAAATCATAGTACCATTACCATGGCTAAAAAATTATCATTTAATATTATTAAATATCCTGTTAGTGTTCAAATTTTTCATAATTTCTTTTTTTTTAAATTATTTCCAGCTTTTTGAATTAGGATCCACACAAAGTCCGTATGTTGCCATCAGCTGACATATCTCTTAAGTTTCTTTTAATCTCTTTGTTCTCCTCCTCTTTCTTTTTTCTCCTTGCTTTTAATTTGTTGAAGAAACTGGCTTGTTTACCCTGTAGTTTCCCACAGTCTGGAATTTGGCTGACCACATCCTGGTTGTGTCATTTAACATGTTCTTCAGTCCTCTCTGACGAGGAAGTTGAATCTAGTTGTCATTCCTGTTTAAATATTTTTTCTCTCTATTTTGTTTTAGGATCCTTTCTTTATTTTTAGGATTCTGTGTTTTCACTAGAGTTAAAATTTTAATTTGTTGTTCATTTTGTGTGTTGCTTCCTATATCTGTGGATTTATGTTTTTCTACAAATTCTTCCTTCCTCAGGAGAGTACAATGCCCATATTGCCCTGTCCTTTTGTTTTTCTCTGTCACTTTTATTCCCTTCCCTTCTATTCCCCTTTCCTTCCCACCCACTTCAGTAAATGGCAGAATAGATGAGTCATGTGATACGAGCTAACTGGAGTTCAAGAATATTTAAAAAATACCAGATTATTAAAATATAGTTAGATAGAAAAGTAAAACCAAATTATGAAATTATGGTGCATAAACATTAGGTCCTTCCCATCACCAAAATATAAAAAGACTAAATTGTTCACAAACATTCTCCTCGTGAATCTCTACATGAAGTTCAAGTCTTTTAAACTGATTTTATTAAGTTCTTGTCAATGTTGTAACTTTCTTCCTAGATCTCATATTTTGGATTCTGGCTATATTATGAGTGACACTTTGACATTAGATGTCTTTGGTCGAAGAGTTGAAGTTAATGGAGAACATGCAACAGTACGTTTTTCTGGTGTTGTCCCTCCTACAGCAGGTAATTTGTGATTTTATGTGTGTACATATGTGAGTGTATATATCCATATATTTATTTATTTTTCTGAAGTTGTTTCTGTGTAGGCTTCTCAACAGTGCTTTATATAACACCAGTTTTGAGGAAATAACTAATTTATAGATACCTCCTATATGCAGTTATTTGATTTGGATGACAGTGTTCTTTTGTATCTGTGGTTTTAATTATAAACTAATTTAGTGTTGCTATTTTATATGAAATCAACTTTAAAATATCTTTAAAAATTTTTTAAACAGCAACAAATCTTAAATTCTTATAAACTTAAACCCAAAAAATTATTCTGATTTTTTGAAATTTCTTTTTAGTTGTTAATCCATGTGCGTATGTATTTAGGAGGCCCTGGGCGGCACAAATGATTAAGCTCTCAGCCACTAACTGAAAGGTGGCAGTTCGTGTCTACCCAAAGGTGCCTTGGAAGAAAGGCCTGGCAATCTACTTCTGAAACATCAGCCATTAAAAACTCTATGGAGCACAGTTCTACAGTGACACACAAGGGGTTGCCACGAATTGGATTAATATAATTTAAATTGATAGACATACTATTTTATGTTATTTTTTTCACTTGACATTATTTGGTATATACTTTCCTGTGTTTCTATAGCATAATTTTATTTAAATTTCTTAATGGCTATTGTCTTAGGCTGGCTTCTCTAGAGGAGCAAAACCAGTGAAGCGTATATGTATATATTAGAGAGAGATTTATTTTGAGGAAATGGCTCACACAGTTGTGGAGGCCAGCAAGCCTCAAATCCACGGGTCAGACATCAGACTGGAGACTCCTCCTGACTCATGTGATTGCAGGGGCTGACAAACCCAAAATCAGCAAGTCAGAGAGCAGGCTGCTGGTTCACGGGGCTGCAGGAGCTAGTGAATCCCCCAATCTGCAGGTCAGACAGCAGGCTGCTGGCTCATGTCCCAAGAACTGGAGGTCAGAGGATGACGAGTTGGATACATGATCGGGAGAGGATGAGCTTTGCCAGAATATCCGTATATATTGGGTGCAGGCCACAACCCCAAGGACACTCCTCTTTCAAACGATTGGCTGCTAACATCAGATCACAAAATGGAGGGTGATTACATAATACCCGCCAAGCCACTGAGAATCATGGCCTAGCCAAGTTGATACGCATTTTTTGGGGGACACAGTTCAATCCATAACATCATTCATCTGTTGATGGGTATTTAGGTTGTTTCTGTCTTTTTGATATTGTGAATAGTGCTGCAGTGAACATGGGTGTGCATATGTCTGTTATTCCTAGGAGTGGGATTGCTGGATTGTATGGTATTTCTACTCATAGCTTTTTAAGGAAGCGCCATATTGTTTTCCAAAGTGGTTGTACCATTTTACATTCCCACTAGCAGTGCATAAGAGTTCCAGTCCCCCCACCACCTCTCCAACATTTGTTATTTTCTGTTTTTTTGGATTAGTGCCAGTATTGTTGCGGTGAAATAGTATCTCATTGTAGTTTTGATTTGCATTTCTCTAATGGCTAATGATCTCAAGCATTTCATCACTTGTCTGTCAGCCACCTGAATGTCTTCTTTGGTGAAGTATCTGTTCATATCGTTTGCCCATTTTTAATTGGATTATTTTTCTTTTTGTTATTGAGGTGCTGAAGTATTTGGTAGATTTTAGAGATTAGACCCTTGTTGGATATGTTGTAGCCAACAATTTTTTCCCCATCTGTTGGTTCTCTTTTTACTCTTTTGATGAAGTCTTTTGATGAGCATAAGTGTTTAATTTTTAGGAGCTCTCAGTTATCTAGTTTCTCTTCTGGTGTTTGTATATTGTTAGTTATGGTTTGTATACTATTTATGCCATGTATTTGGGCCCCTAGCGTTGTCCATATTTTTTCTTCCATGATCTTTATCGTTTTAGATTTTACATTTAGATCTTTGACCCATTTTGAATTAACTTTTGTGTATAACGTGAGGTATAGATCTTGGTGTTTATTCTTTTACAGACGGACATCCAGTTATACCAGCACCATTTGTTAAAGAGACTGTCTTTTCCCCATTTGATGGATTTTGATTTTTTGTTAAATATCAGCTGATCATAGATGGATGGATTTATGACTGGGTTCTCAATCCTGTTCCATTGTTCTATGTGTCTGTTGTACCAGTACCAGTCTGTTTTAACTACTGTGGCTGTGTAATAGGTTCTAAAATCAGGTAGTGTGAGGCGTCCCACTTTGTTCTTCTTCAGTAATGCTTTACTTATCCGTGGCCTCTTCGTATTCCACATGAAGTTGGTGATTTGCTTCTCCATCTCGTTGAAGAATGCTTTGGAATTTGGATCGAGATTGCATTGTATCTGTAGATCACTTTGGGTAGAATTGACATTTTCACAATGTTGAGTCTTCCTGTCTATGTGCATGGTATGTTTTCCCACTTATGTAGGTCTCTTTTGGTTTCTTGCAGTAGTGTTTTGTAGTTTCCTTTGTGTAGGTCTTTTATGTCTCTGGTTAGGTACTTTATCTTCTTGGGGGCTCTTGTAAAGGATATTGATTTGGTGATTTCCTTTTTGAAGTTCTCTTTGTTGGTGTGGAGGATTCCAACTGATTTTTGTATGTTAATCTTGTATCCTGCTACTTTGCTGAAGTCTTCTGTTAGTTCCAGTAGCTTTCTTGTGGATTCTTTGGGGTTTTCTGTGTATAAGATCATATTATTGTGAATATGGATATTTTTACCTCTTCCTTACCAATTTGGATGCTCTTTACTTTATTCTTGCCTAATTGCTGTAAGTAGAACTTCCAACACAATGTTGAATGAGAGTGGTGATAAAGGACATCCTTGTCTGATTCCCATTTTCAAGGGGAATGGATCCATTCTTGCTTGCAAGCTTTTAAGACCCCAGATGCCACTCATTAAAGTAGGGTGTAGACTATTGTCTTTATGAACTATGTTACGCCAATTGACATAGATATCCCCCAAGTCTGTGGTTCTCAGTGAAGGCTTTGGTCTTCATCAGTAAGTGCTTCAAGTCATCTTCACTTTGGCAAGCAAGGTTTTGTCATCTGCATACCACAGGTTGTTAATGAGTTTTCCTCCAATCCTGATGCTGTGATTTTTTTTTTTCTAAATTGTATTTATTTTGTTGTTGAGAATATACACAGCAAAACATATACCAGTTCAACAGCTTCTACGTATACCATTTAGTGACATTGATTACATTTTTTTGAGTTGTGCAACCATTCTCACCCTCCTTTTCTGAGTTGTTCCTCCCTCATTATCATAAACTCACTGCCCCCTAAACTTCCTATCTAATATTTCGAGTTGTCTTCATTTTGATCCCATATAGATTGTTTTTAAAAGAACAATGCTCACAGCAGATCTTTTTTACTAGTCAAGCTAAACTTTTAAGAAGACTTCAGGTGGAATTTTTGTTTTAAGGTTTAAAGATTATCTCAGGGTAATTTCAAGGGTTCATCCACCCTCCATGGCTCCAGAAAGGCTAGAGTCCATGAGAATTTCTCTTCTTCATTTGCCTTGTTCTGATCAGGATTCTTCTATGGATTCTTCGATCAAATGTTCAGTAATGGTAGTCGGGCACCATCCAGTCCTTCTGGTCTCATGGCAGAGGAGGCAGTTGCTCATGGAGACAGTTAGCCACACATTCCATGTCCTCCTCCTGTTCCTGACTCTCCTTCTTCCTCTGTTGCTTCAGGTGAATAGAGACCAATTGTTGTGCCGCTTTCAAACTTTTCAGACCCCAGGCACTACACAGTGAACTTGGAGGTAGAACAGAAGCACTAAATATGTTGTTAGGCCAGTTAACTGGGATGTCTCATGAAACCATGATCCTGAACCTCCAAACCAAGGAACCAAATCCCATGAGATGTTTGGTTGTACATAAGCAGCCTTAGTAGCTACTCTTTCTTTTTGTTGTTGTTGTAAATATCTCATTCTTCTTTGTATAGCCTGTCTTCTCAGATTATTTGTTCAGCCTACAGATTAAATGAGTAAGGTGAAAGGGTACAACCCTGCCACACACTTTTTCCAATTTTAAAGTATGCAGTATCCCTTTGTTCTGTTTGAATACTGCCTCTTGATCCATGTACAGGTTCTACATGAACACGTGTTCTAGAATTCCCGTTCTTCATAATGTCATCCATAATTTGTTATGATCCACACAGTTGAATGCCTTCACATAGTCAGTAAAACACAGGTAAACATCTTTCTCGTTTTTTCTGTTTCTAGCAAGATCTATCTGACATCAACAGTTATATCCTTCTTTCACATTCTTATCTGAATCCAGATTGAACTTTTGGCAGTACCCTGTCGATGTATAGCTGCAGGCTTTTTTTGAATTATCTGCAGCAGAATTTTGCTAGCATGTAATGTTAATGATATGGTTTGATAATTTCCACGTTCTGTTTTATCGCATTTTTTGGAATGGGAATGAATATGGATCTCTTCCACTTGGTTGGCCAGGTAGCTGTCTTCCAAACTTCTTTTTTTTAAATCAGATTACAAAATGCTACACAATTATACAATAGTGGAAATCATGACCCGGCCAAGTTGACAGATATTTTTGGGGGACACAATTCAATCCATGATAATTGGTATTCACCAGTTCTTGGAGCCTTGTTTTTTACCACTGTGTTCAGTACTGTACATAGTAGGTAGTTAATAAAGATGGGTAGAGTAGAAGTGAGACGGTAAAGAAAATACTTTGAAACTGTAAGAGGGTATACAAATATAAGATACGAGGTATAAATAGCATAGTACGATGAATAAGACTTCACTTCTGGATTAGAATGACCTGGATTTGAGCATGTGTGATTTTGGTCAAGTTATTTTACTTATGTTTAATAACAGTAATTTTTATGTATGGATTTTTAATTTTATAAAATGTAGGTTAAAAGTCTAGGACTGAAACACTTGTGTATTAGTCCAGCAAGTGGTAAAAATAATCATACCTTCTTTACATAGATGAAGTGGCTGTCATTGGTATTACATTAGATAACTGCAAGAAAAGTTTCTGGCACTTAGTAAGTATTCAGTAAATTTTAGCCATGGTTGTTTTCTACATTTGTGGTTTTTTCTTGGCTTTTTGAACCAAACATGCTATTAAATTTGTTGATTGAAGTAAGATAAAATTGTCCTTCCCAAAAGACATTTTCTTCTTCCCCGTTGGTGTCAATGTGATATGGTTTCTGTTGTAAATTGTATTTGCTTGCAAGAAATGGAAGCATTACCTATATTACTGTTTATTGCTCATTTGGTTTTTCTGGTTATGCTAGGACTCTGGTTAGGAGTAGAATGGGACAACCCCGAGAGAGGAAAGCATGATGGGAGCCACGAAGGGACTGTGTATTTTAAATGCAGGTAATTTTTCATTATGAATTGGCGTGGTTATTTGGTCAAGATAATGTTTTATAGTTGAATAAAAGGGGTTGGAGATATGCCTGAGCATTTACGTATTGAAGTACATATTATTTTCTTATAAATTACTTTTCATTTCACTGAAATGGACATTGTGTTGACTTAAGAAATTATACAAGTAGATAATGTTATCTATCAGTTCCACTTTGAGATATTTTTGGACAAATCTGCATTGGGCAGATCTGCTACAGAATGCTTTTTTAAAGCATTAAAAAGCAAAGATGTCACTTTGAAGACTAAGATGCACCTGAAACCCAAGCCATAATATTTAAAGTTGCTTCATTTGTATGTAAAAGCTGAACAGTGAATAAGGAAGGCAGAAGAAGAGTTGATGCAGTTGAATTATGGTGTTGAAAAATATTGAATATACCGTGGACTGCCAGAAGAATGAACAAATCTCTCCGGAAAGAAGTATAGCCAGAATGCTCCTTAAGCGCGATAATGGCGAGACTTTGTCTCACTTTGGACAGGTTATGAGGAAGGACCAGGCCCAAGAGAAGGATATCATGCTTGGTAAAGTAGAGGGTCATTGAAAAAGAGGAAGACCCTCAATGAGATGGATTGACACAGTGGCCACAACAGTGGTCTAAAACATGGCAACGACTGTGAGGATGGCACAGGACCAGGCAACATTTAGGACTGTTATACGTAGGGTCACTATGAGTCAGAACTGACCCGACAACACCTAAAACAGAAGGGCACATTGGGCAATACAGAAGGGCACATTGGGCCTGATATAGTGGAGAACTCTACTGGTCTACCCTAAAGGAATATAAATTGTCCTTTATAATTGTTAATCCATATGTTTTTATTAATTAGAACATGACTTTAACTACTGTATTTTTACACAAATAATGCACACCTTCTATGTGTTTGCCAACCACCCCCCCTCCCCCAAGGTATTTTCATAAGCATGCTATGCTAATTTTTTTTTTTAACACCAAAATGTAAAAAAAAAAAAAATTGACGTAGCGGCACTTATGAAAATACCTCACAGGGAGGAGGGCTCAGTTGGCAAACAAATGTAGAAGGCACGCATTATTTGTGTAAAAATACAGTAGTAAAGATTATACTAATATTTTAAATTTTTAAATCAGATTATACCACATGTATTTGTCATTAAGCCCATTCAGATATATTATTAATATGCCATATATACTTCTTCATTTTTATGAAATTCATTGGGGTGTTTTCTTGTTGACTTTAGATGAAGGTTTACAGAGCGAACTAGTTTCTTATTAAATAATTAATACATGTATTGTTTTGTGACATTGGTTGCCAACACCATGACGTGTCAGTACTCTCCCCTTCTTGACCTTGGGTTCCCCACTACCAGCTTTCCTGTCCCCGCTTGCCTTCTCATCCTCACCCCGGGCTGGTGTGCCAGTTTAGTCTCACCTTGTTTTATGGGCCTGTCTAATCTTTGGCTGCAGTGTGAACCTCAGGAGCGACTTCACTGCTGAGCCAGAAGGGTATCCAGGGGTCATACTCTCGGGTTTCTCCAGTCTCTGTCAGACCAGTAAGTCTGTTTTTTTTTGGCGAGTTAAAATTTTGTTCTACATTTTCTCCAGCTATATCTTGGACCCTCTATTGTGATCCCTGTCAGAGCAGTTGGTGGTGGTAGCCAAGCACCATCTAGTTGTGCTGGACTCAGTCTAGAGGAGGCTGTGGTACTTGTGGTGCATTAGTGCTTTGGACTTAACTTTCCCTTGTGTCTTTGGTTTCCTTTATTCTCCTTTGTTCCAGATGAAGTGAGACCATGGAGTATCTTAGATGGCCGCTCACAAGCTTTTAAGACCCCAGACGCTACTCACCAAAGTAGAATGTAGAACATTTTCTTTATAAACTGTTACACCAGTTGAACTAGGTGTTCCCTGACACCATGATCCCCACAGCCCTCAGCCCAGTAATTCGGTTGCTCGGAGTTTGCATGTGTCTGTGGAGCTTCCGTGACCTTGCCTTGTACAAGTTGTACTGGCTTCCCTGGTATTGTGTACTGTCTTACCCCTCCCTTGTAACCATCAAAGATTGTTTCTTTTCATGTGTAAACCTTTTCATGAGTTTTTATAGTAGTGGTCTCATACAACATTTGTCCTTTTGTGATTGCTTATTTCACTCAGCATAAAGCCCTCCAAATTCATCCATGTTATGAGATGCTTCGCAGATTCATCATTGTTCTTTATCGTTGCATAATATTCCACTGTATGTATGTACTATACTTTATTTGTTCATCTGTTGTTGGGAACCTGGGTTGTTTCCATCTTTTTGCTATTGCAGATAATGCTGCAGTGAATGTGGGTGTGCATATGTCTATTCATGTGACGGCTCTTATTTCTCTAGGATATATTCCTAGGAGTGGGATTGCTGAATCATATGATATTTCTATTTCTAGCTTTTTAAGGAAGCACCTGTCATTTTCTACAATGATTGTACCATTTTATATTCCCACCAGCAGCATGTAAGAGTACCAATCTCCCTGCAGCCTTTCCAACATTTGTTATTTTCTGTTTTTTTTTTTAATTTGTGTCAGTCATGTTGGGGTGAGATGGTATCTAATTGTGGTTTTGGTTTACATTTCTCTAATGGCTAGTGATCGGGAACATTTCCTCACGTGTCTGTTAGCCGCTTGAATGTCTTCTTTGGTGAAGTGTCTGTTCATATCCTTTGTCCATTTTTTAATTGGATTGTTGTTTTTTTGTTGTAGAGGTATTGGATTTTCCTGCATATTGTAGAGATTAGACCTTTGTCGGATTTTTCATAGCCAAATTTTTTTTCCCAGTCTGTAGGTTCACTTTTTACTCTTTTGGTGAAGTGTTTTGATGAGCGTAAGTGTTTAATTTTTAGAAGATCCTAGTTATCTAGCTTCTAGTGTTTGTGCATTGTTAGTTTTGGTTTGTATTCTGTTAATACTGGGTAGTAGGGCCCCTGGCATTGACCCTGTTTTTTCTTCTATGATTTTTATAGGTTTTGGTTTTATATTTAGGCCTTTGATCCATTTTGAATTAGTTTTTGTTTGTGACGTGAGATATGGGTGCTATTTAACTTTTTGCTGATGGACATCCAGTTTTACCAGCACCATTTGTTAAAAAGACTGTCTTTTCCCCACTTGATGGACTTTGGACCTTTGTCAAAGATCAGATGACTGTAAGTGGCTGGATACACATGTGGGTTCTCAATTCTGTTCCATGGGTCAATGTGTTTGTCGTCGTACCAGCACCAGGCTGTTTTGACTACTGTAGCTGTATAGTAGGTTCTGAGGTCAGGTAGTGTGAGTCCTCCTACTTTATTCTTCTTCAGTAGTGCTTTACTTATCCAGGATTTCTTCCCTTTCCATATAAAGTTAATGATTAATTTTTCTCTATCTTTAAAGACTGCTGTTGGTAATTGGATCAGGATTATATTGTATTTGTAGATTGTTTTGAGTAGAATTAACGTTTTCAAAATGTTGAGTCTACCTATCCATGAGCATGGTATGTTTTTCCATTTATGTAGGTCTCTTTTGGTTTCTTGCAGTAGTGTTTTGTAGTTTTCTTTGTATAGGTCTTTTGCATCTCTGGTTAGATTTATTCCTAAGTATTTTATTTTTTTAGGGGCTATTATAAATGGTATTGTTTTTCTGATTTCCTTTTCAGTGTTTCTTCATTAGTGTATAGGAATCCAACTGATTTTTGTATGTTTATCTTGTATCCTGAGAGCCTGCCAAATCTTGCTATTAGTTTCAGTAGTTTTCTTGTGGAGTCTTTTGGGTTTTCTATGTATAGTATCATATCACCCGTAAATAGGGACAGTTTTAATTCTTCATTACCAGTTTAGGTGCCTTTTATTTCTTTTTCTTGCCTCATTGCCCTAGCTAGTACTTCCAGCATGATGTTAAATAGGAGTGGTGAAAAGGGCATCCTTGTCTTGTTCCTGTTCTCAAGGGTAATGTTTTCAGTCTCTCTCCATTAAGAATGACATTGGTTGTTGGTTTTGTATAGATGCACTTTATTATGTAGAGGAATTTTGCTTCTGTGTCTATTTTATTGAGAGTTTTTATCCGGAATGGGTGTTGGACTTTATTGGGGTGTTTTTGATATTTCAAAGTCTGCTGCTGACTTACTTGGGAAGTCATAATAACAAGATACTATCATTCTAGAAAAGTCTTTTATCACAGTAAGCATTTTATTATTCTTTAGATGCTATTTTAATGAAGCCAAAGCAGTTTAAAATTGTCAGATCATGAATCTTTGTATAATATGTTCGTGAAATTGGTATATGGCAAAATGATGGTATACTCGGTATAAATTAGGAAACCTTGAGTTAAAAGTCGTTGTATTACCTCAGAACTCCAAGTGGAATTTCTCTATGTCCATCTCTATGTGTTCAGAAGCGTGTCTTAATATCGGTTTGTGTGTCAGTCATATAACAGTGTAATTATACCTTTGATAAATATTATAAAAATCAGTTTGCCTTCCTTTGCTTTTTAAGCAAAGGATATCAGGATATATTGAATGTGATATTTGGTGTGCGCAGCTTATTGAATCTTCCTGGTGTGTCAGGTTGGCATAGATGATATTCTCCTGTGGGATGCAGTATTCAAGGCCTGGGCCATGGTGTACATTCGTCCACGGTGTATTTTTTTCCAACCAGTTCAGCTCATGTCGATCTCAGGAAACTTCAGTTCAGAATAGAATAACATTTGCAAGAGTGTAGGCTCTGCTTTAGGAGCCCTGGTGGTGCAGTGGCAAAGCGCTTGGCAGCTACTGGAAAGGTTGGTGGCTGGCACTCACCAGCCGCTCTGATGGAGAAAGATGTGGCAGTCTGCTCCGTAAAGATTACAGCCTTGAACCCTATGGGGCAGTTCAACTCTGTCACATGGATACACTATGAGTGGGAATCGACTCCAGGGCACACAAGAACAACAACAGCCTCTGCTTTAACAGTGATCTTAAAATAGAATATAG